TTGGATTATATGACAGCTCTATTTTTAAATGTTTTGAGGAAAATCCACACTGTTTTCCATAGTGGCTGCACCAATTCACAATCCCACCAACATTTTAACAATATCAATCCTCCCAACCCATGAGCATGGTATATTCTTCAGTTTATTTGTATCCTCTTCACTTTCTTTCTTACAATTTTTTAAAGACTTACACTCTTTCAATCTAGGTTAAATTTATTCCTACATATTTTATGTTTTATGCAAATGTTAATGGGATTATTTTAATTTCTCCTTTTGGTGTATAAAAATGCAAGATTTCTGAGCAGAACTTCGCTGGAGATCCAGACCAGAACTTGGCTGGAGATCCTGGCTAGAGATCCTGGCTAGGCTGCTGATCAACTGAATGCTGTCTCTGTGTCATTCCTTCTTCACCGACTCCATCCACACCTTTGGGGACCCCTGGACCTGCTGGGGTTGGACCCCGGCATCTGGCGCCCGAACAGGGACCCCTAGGTAAGCCCCATTCTCGGGATGGATAGGACTCCACCGTAGGAAGAGGGTAGATAGTCTTCGCCGACTCCGTCCACACCTTTGGGAATCCCTGGAACAGGATTCCCCTAGGTAAGCCCCCCCCCTTGAAAACCCCCACACTCGGGACGGATAGGACTCCACCAGGGTACTGCAGACCCCCCTATAGAGGATAAGTAGGGTAAGAAGGTGGATAGTACAGAACTTAGATTGAGAAGATGTGCCATACTGAGTCCAAAGAAAAAAGACTCTGTATTGATCTTTAGATTAAGAAGATGTGCCATACTAAGTCTAAAGAAATAAGACACTGTATTGATCTTTTAACACATATGCTTGCTAGCAGAGGAATTAAGGTTACTCCCAGTCAGACAGAACGTTTTATACAAGAAGTATGTCCATGCTTTTCTGAGGAAGGAAAGGTAAATGTAAAGGCATGGGAGGAGGTAGGCCCAAGGAGCCTTATCCTTAACCCCACTGCAGCCTTTCCACCCTGGGAAAGTGCAGGATTGGCAAGCTCTCCCTGGGGTGATAGATCAGGACTCAGGTAATAGCGGAAAGTGCCGATCTTACTCTTAAAATGGATACAAGAGAGCATTTCAGGTTTTTCTTTTTAATGCCTGCTTTTAAAAAATAAAAAAGGGGGAATTTGCCGGGAGCCAGTCCATGCTTGCTGTTTCAAGGGACCTGGCGTATATAGCATACTGTTCTTAATATGTTTGCTCCCCTTAGCACAGTGTGTTTTAACCAAGGTCACCTCTCCGAGAAAGGTTGTTTCCCCAGGTAGGGATTTTTCCCTGAAGTTAGGGAGGGGATGAAACTCCTTAACTAAGTGCCAGGCGGGTAGTTAATCACTTTAACTACAAACAATCATGCTTAAGCTACATAATCTTTACTCCCTGGAATGGAGATAAGAAACACCCTAACCTTTGTAATAGAAATTGACAGGATTAAAATCAACTGGTATAAATATGGATGTAACAAGACAATAAACAGCAGAACTTCGCTGGAGATCCAGACCAGAACTTGGCTGGAGATCCTGGCTAGAGATCCTGGCTAGGCTGCTGATCAACTGAAAAAAAAAAAAAAAAATGCAAGATTTCTGTATATTAATTTTGTATCCTTTAACTTTACTGAATTCATTTATTACTTTTAAGTTTTTTGATGAGAGTCTTTAGTGTTTTCTATATATAGTGTCATATCATCTACAAATAAGATTTACTTCTTCCTTTTTGTTTTGGATGCCTTTTAATTCTTTTTCTTGTCTCATTGCTCTGGCTAGGACTACTACTACTACTATGTAGAATAGAAATGGTGATAGTGAGCATCCGTGCCTTGTTCCTGATCTTAGAGAAAGCTTTTGGCTTTAACATTTTGGCCCAGATCATTCTCTGTTGTGGGAGACTGTCCTGTACATTGTAGAATGTCTAGCAACATCCTTGGGCGTCTACTCACTAGATGCCAATAGCAGCCCCAATCAAAAATGTGTCTCCAAATATTGCCAGAAGCGCCCTGGGGGGCAAAACTGCTTCTGGTTGATAACTACTGATCTTGTTTTTTGGCTTTAAATATCAGCTATATACACAGGCAACTGCTTGTCTGTAGCCTGAAACTCTCTGCCAATCATCATCTTCTCTGCACTTCTATGCATACCAGTACATCCCACTTAATATGTCAAAACTACTGGTTTATACTCCTCCCCGTATGTGCCCTTTTACCTTGTTTGTCTTGCTTGATAACTGATACCTCTCTTGCTCTTACCTTCACACTTTTATCCATCAGTAAATCGTACAGGCTTTGCCTTCAAAACATACCCCTGCTCTGACTTATTTCCACTACCACTGCTACCAACCTAACCTAAGCTCATACAATCTCTCACCAAGATTATTACCTCTTAAAAGTCTCTCTGCTTCCACCCTGGCAGCCCTAGGTCTCATGTCCAACATTGTTAGAAATGTAAATTCTACTAATTAGTAAATCAAAAACTCTGAGGATGGGACACATCAAACACCTAAGCCACTCCCCTGCCCTCCTCTCTCCCATTATATTCCCTAGCTTACCTTGCATTCATACCAACTTCCTGCGTTCTAAACACACTCAGGACACTCACATTACAGGGCCTTTTCATTAGTTGTACCTCTTCCCTGGAAAATTATTCACCCTCCCAGATAAATATTCGATGTCTCTATTTAAGTGTCACCTTCTCATTGAGGCTTTCTCTGGCTATATAAAATAAAAACACCTTCTTCCTAAAACCAGACTCCTTATTACTCTTAATTTTTCACCAAATCACTTGTCATTATCTAACAGGGCATATATGTGTTTTGTTTACTGTCTGCCTCTCTACATTCGACTATGTAAACTCCATATGGACAGAACTTTATTTTATTTGCTGCTCTACTTTCAGCAACTAGAAAAGAATCTGGTACTCAACAGGTTGGTAGCAGTGGTAATGGAAAGAAGTCAGAGTTGGGATATGTTTTGAAGGCAAAGCCTGTACGACTTACTGATGGATAAAAGTGTGATGTTGCCCAGCTGGGTGTGGCTCAGCAGTTGAGGGTCGACCCAGGAACCAAGAGGTCACAGGTTCGATTCCCGGTCAGGGCCTATGCCCAGGTTGTGGGTTCGATCCCCTGCAGGGGGCATGCAGGAAGCAGCCAATCAACGATTCTCTCTCATCATTGATGTTTCTCTCACCCCTTCTCCCTTTCTCTCTCTGAAATCAATGAAAAATATATATATTTTTAAAAATAAAAATGTTAACTTTCTGAGGCAATGGTTGCTTATGGTTGATTGAGGAAAAAACAATATGATTTAAGTAACTGATAAGAAAATTTCAGCAGAAAACAAACATGGCCCACCCAAACCATAAGGTGAATGAGAAAGGCAAAATGCAGCATTTAGGAGTGAAGGCTAAGTAGTTCACAGTAAATAAATCACTGGTTAGCAAAGTTTAGTAAGACTACAGAACTGAGCCTAGAAGGAATGTAAGCTTTATGTAAGCTGAAGACGGATGAAATTCCAGAGAAGAAAATACGATGTGCAGAACTCAGGGAAGTAGATCTGCTAAGTATAGTTTTCCCAAAGTGTGTTCACTGGAAATATCATTACCTTGAAGAATAGTTAAGTGAAAGGATGGGAAAGTAAGAAAAGGCTGGATTAAATAACTTTAAACAGGTTTCTTTAATGCAAGACTTCTTGTTGACTTTAACATGTATAATATAAACCTCTAAGAGAGGAAATACAGTACATTATGTTTCCCTGCCTTAATCACACAACCTTTTTTGTTTTGGTTGAGTACATAGATCTGTGACCTAACTTCACTTTTATCACTAACTAGAGGCCTGGTGCATGAATTCATGCATGGGTGGGGTCCCCTGGGCCTGCCCCAATCAGGGCCAATTGGGCAGGGCCGGCCAGGGGGAGGGGCTGCAGGCAGTTGACCGGTCAGGGGAGGGGCCGCAGGCGGTTGGCCAGCTGGCCCCGCCCCCTGGTCAAATTCCAGGTTGAGGGGACAATTTGCATATTAGCCTTTTATTATATAGGATGTTAGTGACATTTTTATCTGTCCTATTTTACTGTAATTTGCCTATTAAGTTAGCATAGTAATAATGTCTCCCCAAACAAAAAAACCCTTATTAACTATATTTAAGCCAACTCAAACTCTAATTCTGAAAAACACAGAGTATCACAAATATCCCACTTGGGAAATAAAATCCTGAAATACTATTTTCACCACTCCATTCTCTCTTTTTAATATATTTTTATTGATTTCAGAGAGGAAGGGAGAGGGAGAGAAAGAGAGAAACATCAATGATGAGAGAGAATCATGGATTGGCTACCTCCTGCATGCTCCACACTGTGGACCAAGACCACAACTGGGCATGTGCCCTGACCGAGAATTGAGCCATGACCTCCTGGTTCACAGGTCAACACTCAACCACTGAGCCACAACGGCCGGGCTCACCACTCCATTCTTTATTCAATTTTTAATAATCCAGTATGAGAACAATTTAAGCCTACAGTATTTTAAGTGTCTTTTTAATGCTTTAAGCCTATGTGTGGGAGGCAACCAACTGATGTGTCTCTCTCTGTCTCTACCCTTCCATTCTAAAAAAAAAAATCAAAGGAAAAAATATCCTCGGGTGAGGATTAATAACAACAGAAACATGCAAAATCATACCACTGCAGCAGCTAAAAGGTACTGAAGAGATCACCAGTCCAGTCTGCCACATAGGCCCCATCACTATTTTTATAACGAAGAAATCGTGATGCCTTTACTCAGTCAACTAGTCAGGTATCAAAAAAAGCAAAAGCGCCCAGGTCACCTAACATTCCAGTACAGTGTATGGACATATTTTAACTAGAGAAACTTTAAAAATTAATAAAGAATAATCTAAAACATGATAAAATCTGAGGTAAATCAAGTCTTTAAAATACATGGTCAAAGAAAGAAAAGAAATTTTTTCCCCACAAAAGAGGCAAGACAAACGAAATGTAAAAGCTAGAGATTTATTGTTATTTTGTGATTAATAACTGTCAAATTGGTTATGACACTATCCCACACTGTATACCACCATTCGCCAGTACAAGATTTTAAACCAGACTGAGGCATAAGGCAGAGAGAGCAAAGACACATGAGTAATCCTGAACAACTTCTTCTAGCCATGCCTCCACCTTGACCTTCATACAAGTTTTCCTCCTGGGGAAAGTGTCAGAACAGTGCATGGCTGGTGGGCAACTTGACCTCTTAACCCTTTTTAACAGCAAGCAACTTACAGAAGTAATACAATTCAACTTGTATTTCCTTTGATTTTATTGGTCTGAACTCATTTTAGGTAACTTGAACATTTTAATTTCCTGTACATGAGACTACAATGACCTAAGAGAATACTGAACCAGAGTCAGCCAAATATATAACTGACCCAAAGTTATGTTTAATTGGTCCTAAAGGAATGTACCACACCAACAATTTGAGAGTTAGGCAAACAGAACTTCTCTGAGGAGGAAAGAAAAAGGCTGTAGAACAGCCAAATGTATTCAACATTGTTAAAACGGCTCTTGTTTATCACCCCTGAATGATACCTGTTTACTACATCATATGCACAGAAATCCTAACAGAACCTTGGTTACACCAGTGTTATTTAGGCTGGCCCACTCCAGGATAGATCCCCACCCCCTCCCCCAAGTTCCCTTCTCTGAGGCTCTGAAAAGCACAATATTTACCTATTTCTTAATAAACTACCGAAACACTTCAGAAACAAGTAGCTCACAAATCATTTTAAATTCATGTATTGCCTGTGCATGAGAAATCTGATAAACCCAAAAGATAGATCTATTTTTATATGGCAATTAAAAATAACTGAAACATCAAGACACTTTCAGTGAAAGCAACATTTCAATTACAAACTGTAATGCCTGTTAAACTACCTATGGGAGAAGCTGAAAAATCTTAGGCAAATGCACTTTTGGGTTATATTACAGTGCTCCTTCTGTCTGCACAAAAATTAAGGTAATTTACAATTAATCAGTGAATGTTGAGACAATGTTACATTATGTTGTCTGTACAATTAAATGTCCTTAAAGAGATAACCAGAATCAGCTTTTCTACTATATAGTCAACAAACCTAACTGGCACTTTTGCTTAAAGATGTTTATCAAAGATGCTGTAAGATTCTACACAATTAGGAAATATTTAACTTTATTTCCTTATCTTTACTTTTTTATTTATAAGTTTTTTCAAGATAATCTACTGCTGTATGTTTCTAGAAATGCATTCCCAAATGTGCATAATATATTGTATACAAATAAAGTAAAACTGTCAGTAGTGTAAATCTTACAGCATTTTGTTTGCAAAAATACATGCCAAAGTCACAATAAGGAATATTGTAACCACAAATTATAGAGTGCAAATGATTTGCTTTTTTTAATGCTTTTATTCTACATAAATTACTACCATAGGCTAATGTTTAAAAAGCAAATAAATTGGACAGATGCAGGACAAAAATCTGTTCACCCACTACAAAAGGTGAAGTTTTTTTTAAAAATTACAATAAATGCAGAAGTGTTTGATGCATGCAGTAGCCTTAAATGAAAAAGCATTGATTCCCATTGTTCCACAAGAAAAATAAAACCACACAGAGAAACCCACATTATCTTACTGTACTCCACCTTAAAATGCATCATATTGGGTTTGTTTATAACAGCACAGAATTCCAAAAGTCAAAATGAAATAAAGCAGGTATTTTAAAGATTTAAGAGCCGTTATCAAAAATAAATTACATTTTTTTCAAGATACAGAAATGCTGCTATGATGGCTGGGAGCCCAGTAATCTTTCAATAGCCGCATTGATATCACCTCCTGTTGCGATCAGGGCTTGCAAGTTTGCTTCACGGTTCAAAAACCCCATTGCACTGAGTTGTTCCAGTTGTTGCTGAAATCTGACTTCTGGACTCTGTAGCTGTTAAGGAAAAAAAAAAATTAACCAAAAGTCTAAGCTACAAAAGCACTGGCCTCTCTCTCTCTCGAAACATGTTCAACATATTTAAAAGACCTCTAGCACTTTATTTTGCTAATTTATACCTAAACAATCATGTCAAATAGATCACATACTTAAAAAAAATTTTTTAATAAACCTCAACCATTCTTTACATATATTTAAGAAGCTCATAAATAAATAAATAGAAAGTCTATATATGCAAATAGCTTAGAATTAGATTACTTATTTTGTAGCTATTGACCAACTGGGTAATTATAAAAGCCATGTCCTTGTGTATAAAATTTTAAAGTTCTAATGAGGCTTATTTCTTCACTGGCCAAAGTCTTCAGAGAGAGTTCCAGTTTCAGGCCCACAGATTTCTGACAATTCAGCTGTCATATCTTTCTTCAGAAATGAGGTTAAGACAAAAATACATAAATGATTAATCAACCCTGGCTAACCTGATAATGGTGAAGTCTATAGATAATTCAACTTATATAACTCTTTCCAACAGCTAAAATCTTTTTTCTTATTAAGTCCATGAATTTTTACTGAGCCAGAGCTATGCAAGTTACTGAGGATACAAATACTTGTGTTAGATAAACCCTGTTCTGTTTATTGTATTTAATAAAACTTGAAAATCAGAAAGCATGCTATATTTTTGCCAGGCAGAAGTTTGGAGGCAATCGACCATACCAGATTTGAACTATAATCATCTTTGTTCCATGGCAGATTCTTGGTAAAGCCAATAAATACTTCCAGATACAAGAACATTATTATGAGCCCGCATTTTTTAGACCTATTTGTGAGGTATATTCATGTAACACCAACTTACCACAGGAAGTAGTAGTGAGGTAGTTAGGATTTTTTAAAATCTTTTTAAATTTTTTCAATTGCAATTGACATACATTGTTGTATTAGTTTCAGGTGTACACTCCAGTGATCAGACATTATAAAACTTAAGTGATCATTCAAAAAAATCTCATACCCACCTGACAGCATATAGTTATTCCCTACCTGTACTTTACATCCCTGTGACTACATTATAACTAGTTTGTATTCTCAATCCCTTCACCTTTACACCCATCCCCACTCCCATCTGTCAAAATGTTCTCTGTATATATGAGGGTTTCTGTTTTGCTTGTTCATTTATGTTAATTTTTAGATTCAATTGTTGATATTTATTGTCATTTTATTGTTCATATATTTTATCTTTTCTTTTTTTTCTTCTTAAAGAAAAAACATTTCATGTAATACTGGTTTTAACTCCTTTAGCTTTTCCTTGTCTGGGAAGCTCTTTATTTGACCTTCCATTCTAAATGACAGCTTGGCTGGGTAGAGTAACCTTGGTTGTAGGTCCTTGCTTTTCTTCACTTTGAATATTTCTTGCCATTTCTTTCTGGCCTGTAAAGTTTCTGTTGAGAAATCAGATGACAGTTGTATGGGCACTCTCTTAAAGGTAACTAACTGCTTTTCTCTTGCTGCTTTTAATATTTTCTCTTTGTCTTTAACCTTTGGCATTTTAGTTATGATGTGTCTTAATGTGGGCCTCTTTGGGTTCATCTTGTTTGGGACTCTATGCTTCCTGGGACTTGTATGTCTATTTCTTTCACCGGGTAAGGGAGGTTTTCTGTCATTACTTTTCAAGTCATTTTTTTTTTTTTTTAATATATTTTATTGATTTTTTACAGAGAGGAAGGGAGAGAGATAGAGAGTTAGAAACATCGATGAGAGAGAAACATCGATCAGCTGCCTCCCGCACATCTCCCACTGGGGATGTGCCCGCAACCCAGGTACATGCCCCCGACCGGAATCGAACCTGGGACCCTTCAGTCTGCAGGCCGACGCTCTATCCACTGAGCCAAACCGGTTTTGGCTCAAGTCATTTTTCAATTTCCTGCTCCTGCTTTCTCCTTCCAGCACCCCCATTATGCAAATGTTGGTATGCTTGAAGTTGTCCCAGGGCTCCTTACACTTTTTCTTTTTGCTCTTCTGATCGGGTGTTGTTTCCTTATGTTCCACAAATTCTTGATTTTGATTCTCAGTAGCCTTACTCTACTGTTGATCCCCTGTAAATTATTTTTTATTTCAGTTAGTGTATCCTTCATTCCTAACTGATCCTTTTTTATAGTGTTGATGTTCTCACTAAGTTCCTTGAATTTCTCAATAAGTTCCTTGAGCACCATTATAACCAGTGTTTTGAACTCTGTACCTAATCGTTTTTTCTTGCTTCCCATCATTTAGTTCTTTTTCTGGAGATTTCTTCTGTTCTTTGTCTCTGCATTTTGGTTGCTTCCCTGTGTTTGTTTCTATATATTAGATCTGCTGTGTGTCTCACATTTGGTAGAGTTGCCTTGGGTAGTGGTGCCCTGTAAAGCACAGTGGCTCAGCCTCTGCAGTCTTCTGAGCTGGGCACTTCAGGTGTGCCCGTCTGAGCTGTGTGCACTGTCCTATTGCAGTTGAGCCTTGATTTATGTTGGTGTCACTGGGAGGGGTTGACCCTCAGGCCAATCACTTGAGAGGACCAGCTGCTACTACAGTGGAAGAGCTGCTGTGCCAAGATATCCCTCCTGATTTTAAATGACCGCACATAGGTGTGGGACCAGCCAGTGCTGTGATTCTGCTCCAGGTCGCTGTCCCTCCTACCAGTCTTCATGTGCTTCTTCTTTAATTCCTTAGTTGTAGTACTTCTGATCAGCTAGATTTCAGGTGGTTCTGAATGATTATTCTGTATTAATCATTTACCTATGCTGCCATCTTGACTAGAAGGATTTTTTTTTTAAATCAAAATACAGACTAGATTATAGTTGTTCAGGAAATTATTTGGGATAACCAAGTTCCTTATTCTTCCCTGACAAACTTTTATAAAATGAACATCTATATTATAAAAAGCCAGTGGCCATAACGCCATAATGACCAAATGACTGGTCACCAGGAGGTGCATTGATGGGTCCAGTGGCGGTGGTGGCGTAATTTCACGCACTGGGCCTCTAGTATTTAAATAATTTTCAAATAGGGACTCCAAAAAAGAATGAATTTTAAAGACATCTTATAAAAAATAAGGCAAAATTTTAGCATTTCTTCTCTACAACTAAAATGTTTTAGTGTCTAATATAATATCAAAGTTAACAATTTTTCTAAGGCCTGCTTTAGAATAAATATTCTTAAGACTGTACCTTCAGATTATAATCTGAACCCTAAAAGACTGCCACTTTCTTTTCTTTCATTTTCTTTTGAGAGGAGGAGGGGATTTCTAACATTAAGGCATGTAAAGTGTGAGCAGAAAAGATTCACTACCTGAGGATTTACTGCAGCAAGAGCCTGCAGCATTTGTTGGATAAACTGCTGGTGTCCAGGTTCCGTGGTTCCTTCTGTGGGTCTTGGGTTTTCACTAGGGGCAGAGCTAGAGCCATTGGTTCCTGAAGAGCCGCCAGTGCTTCCTAATGTCCCCAGGCCAGGAGAAAAGCTAGGGAAAGCACAAATTGGTAGTAAACCTAAATTCCTGGACTTGTATGTCTATTTCATACAAGAGGCCAGACCAGGGCAGCTGGTAATAAATCAGTAACATTTTAACATAATAGTAGCCAAGTTAGACTAAGTGAGAGCTTTTTTTAACTTTGAAAGCTCTGTCTTAAAAATAATCTCAGCAGTCCTAGCCTGTGTGGCTCAGTTGTTTCAGCATTGTTCTATGCACCAAAAGGATCACAAGTTCAACACCCAGCCAGGACATATGCCAGAGTTTGGGACTCGATCCCCAGTAGGGGGAATGTAGGAGACAGCCAATTGCTGTTTCTCCCTCACATCAATGTTTTTTTCTCTCCCTTTCTCTCTCTCTCTCAAAAAAAGATATATATCAATAAAAATCATATTAAAAAATAAAAAACTATCTCTTAACAAAAGGCAAAATGATATTAAGCCTAATATTCTCCAAGAGAGAAAGTAACTATCATACACTTTCATAATCTTCCCCAAATAAGCCTACCCTGGGATGAGGCCAGGTGCTTCCGTTGCTAATGTCTGCAAACCCTGTTGAATCTGCAACAAGGCCTGCATTGCTCTAGGGTTTGACATTGCCGATAATGTATCAGGATTCTGCATCTAAGGAAGAAAGAAAACCAGTGGTTATTGAGGGATTACAATCAGTGAAGGTAAAATTCAAATGTTTTCTTTGCTATGTTTTTGGAGAAAAGTAAAAAACTGTACTGTTAAGACACTGATAATCCATAATTTCTTTCCCAAAATAAATACAAGAACCTCCTCTCTGAGAGCAAACCTAGTGTGCACATTTTTACTACATCTCCTCCCAAATCCATCATGAAAACCAATTTTTCATAATAAAAGACAATTAGGAGATCCTCTGGAAGCCACACCTGTTCTCCTTCTCCAACGGAAGATGAAAATATTATTTCTAAGTGACAACTCCAAAAAGGCAAAGTTAATGTAACATGGTAATATGGTGAAAGCCACATATTCCTCCTGACCAAGTGTTACCTGTTGCTGATGTAACAATTTTACCAGTAAACTACACTCTAAAACAAGTTCCAAATTTGAAGTTAATACATATGTCCTGAGTTCAGCTTCACTACTTCCAAATATACAGCACCTGACTAACCAATATAGATAGGCTTGCATCATTACAATAGATCAAGAGCACTAACGAATCTTGGATAATGTTTTACATGCCTGAGAATCATTTACATAATATTTAACAGACTGAGAACTACAAAGACTAAATAACTTCATAACACCAAGACTGACTTCTTTCCTATCTCTGTAAGTAATAAAATACCATGGCAATCTCAAGTACTTTTCAATAATAAAAATCTTCCGTATATGACAACGACTATTTTAATCCTGCTAATTCCGAGTTAGAGGAAATGAGATTTACCTCTTGAAAAACAGGCATTCTATTAATTTGGAGGAAGTAAAACTTTACAAAGAAACCAAACCTGCAAAATAGGATACGGTACCGCTTTCCAATTACTCAAGAATAGTTAATGTATAACATGACACAATGAAGCACTTCAAAGTTAGTATAATGAAAGAAAATGGTTTATGCATTAACAAAGCATTCAAAATCCTAAATTCTCAAAAGCAAAAACAAAATGGTCCTTTTCTCAGAATTTGTTTAAGAAATCAAGCAGACCTAGCCAGTTTGGCACAGTTGGCCTGCAGACTGAAGGGTCCCGAGTTCAATTCCAGTCAAGAGCACATGCCGGGGTTGCGGGCTGAATCCCAGTAGGGGACATGCAGGAGGCAGCCAATAAATGAATTCTCTCTCATCATTAATGTTTCTATCTCTCCCTCTCTCTTCCTCTCTGAAATAAATTTTAAAAATTCATATTAAAAAAAAAAGAAATACAAGCAAAAACAAAATATCAGCAATGAAATGGGGCTTGGGTAAGATCAAGCTGAATTCTCTTTGAAATGATAGCATTATCAGACTTTATTCTATGTTTTGCTATCAATCAAAGAGCAAAGAAAAATGTTTATCAACAAACTTTTTCAAGCAAACCATTACTGAAGATAGCTAGCATCTTTTCTTACTCACTTGTTGGAGGAAAGTTGGGAGCTGTTGTCTCATTTGTTCTTGAAGCTGAGGATTTCCAGCAAATAGGGGATTATTCAGCATCATCTATGGGGCAAGTGTTCAAACAATTTTAACTGGAAATAATTGAAACAAGTAATGTACCTTGTTTAATAGTCTATCTTCCCCCAAGTGCCTAACCTGGCACTTAAAAAAAGAGGAAGGTAGAACATGAATAAAAAAAGGAAGGGAAGATACTGTCCACAAGAATGATCTCCAGGAAAAAAAAAAAAAGGGCATCTTCTCTCTCAATGAGAATGGTGATCATGATAATGACATGCAATATTCTAAAAATTAAAAGCAATCATTCTTAAGCTTTTCTTTGAGCAAAGGTGAGTATCTGCTCTTGAAGGAGAAATGGGAATAACTGGCATTCATAGGGATACATATTCTGCTACACTGACAGAATAAACAATACAGGAAACTATACTTGGCTTCTTTAGACACCTCGACACACAAGTGGCAAGCACAGAGAAAATCCAGATCTGGAACCACTATATCTACCTGCCTACTATAAAACAGCTGATATCAGGTCCAGAAAAGTAACAGCACAGAACAGCAACCACCTTGCCAGAGAAATGGAGCTGCTAGGTGAAAATCAGCCCAGGACTAGCATCAACAGATCTCTGAGGAAAGTATTAAAATACTTTAAGACCTGAAAGATGTAAATCCATTTGAGAACACCAAGATTAGCCTCTGGATTTCACCTCACTATTACCAGAGAAAAGAAAAGTATCATGTTGCCTAACCTTCAAATAGGTATTAATATTAGAAAGTCAGGGTCAATATCAACATGATGCTAGATACCTGAAAATAAAATTACAATACACAATCAGCATAACCAGAAACGAATTCTCATAATTTTAAAAGATAACTTTTGTATCGGTTTTTCTCCAGAGTGAAGAATCAACTAAAAATAATTTGCTGTTAGTCTACTTACTGGCCTAAATTTGGGGGAAGATGATCCTTGCCCTCAACTAGTTAATCATATTTGAAATAATTATATGTAAATGTTGGAAGTAGAGAGAATTCCTCTCTTCTTCCTTTAGTTTAATCTATTGTTGCAAAGTGGATTAGGTAATTTTTTTTTAAGTGTATAAAACAGGCCCTGGCTGGTTTGGCTCAGTGGATACAGTGTCGGCCTGCAGACTGAAGGTCCTGGGTTCAATTCTGGTCAAGAGCACATGCCCAGGTTATGGGCTCCATCCCCAGTAGGGGACGTGCAGGAGGCAGTCAATCAATGATTGTCTCTCATCATTGATGTTTCTCTCTCTCTCCCCACCCCTCTTTTCTGCTCTAAAATTAATAAAAATATATTTTTTTAAAAGTATATAAAACAGGAAGAAGTCAATGTTTTATGGATAAATAGTATTTATTTCAAAGTGACCAATAAGTTCATAGTAAATAAAGTAATACCTGCTATAGATCAACAAACCTGTTTCTTTATTGGCTCCAGTCAAATACTTTATTATTATAAACATATTAATGAAGTTTATCACATTTACCTTCCAGAATTCATGTTATTTGAAAAAGCATACCACCTTAAACTTCTTTATTCTTTCTCAGAAAATCATATCTCATTTGATTAGGATATTTCTCCTAACTTACCTGTTTACATAATAATATTTTTTACACTCAGACTTTTAAAAAATATCTAAAAATCAAAATCAGAATAGAGAAGTACAAACTTAATCAACAGAGTATATGGTAAATGTTCCTAAATTATCGATAATAAAAGGCATCCATATCTAGCCTACTTTGTCAACATTTTGCTTTAAAGTGAAAATACAGTAGAGGAAAGTGCTCAAGTAATTTTATAAATGTAGAATTGTTAGTTAAAATAGCTGGGAATGTGCCTGTTAAAGTCAAAATTTTAAAGCAAAATGTACATTCAATGTTAATTATTACTTAAATATACATTTAAAAACATACAACAGTATCACTTTACATACATAATTCCACTTTTAAGTGCAGTAATCACAGTAAAGTGTGGCATTTAATACTTATATATTCAGTTTGGCAACTTGCATATGAATAAAACAATATTTTATAAAATATACCTACACTATACAAAATTAAGAGTATATAAAAATTCACCCCAAAACTTGTTCTCTATTTCTAATTCCACAAATTTTAAGAGGGCAGAAGTTATTGCTAAGGATTATAGTTTAAAGATATCTGCTATATACTTGAGTCAATTAAGACTGCAGACTTTAGGAAATAAAAACCACTTCATGCCCTAACCGGTTTGGTTGAGTGGATAGAGCATCGGCCTGCAGACTCAAGGGTCCCAGTTCGATTCCGGTCAAGGACATGTACCTTGGTTGCAGGCACGTCCCCGGTGGGGAGTGTGCAGGAGGCAGCTGATCGATGATTCTCTCTCTCTCATCGATGTTTCTAACTCTCTATCCCTATCCTTTCCTCTCTGTGAAAAATCAACTAAAAAAAAAAAAACCCACTTCATTTGACAAAATGATGAAAGTGATTATCTTTAAAAGCGTCTAAAGTTTTAGAAATGGAAATAAACTATAAAGGAAACTATTTTAAATTTCCAGCATTCTACAGAGGCTGTTTTTAAAAAAATAGAAAATATAATTTACAGGTGATCAAGTCTTGTTTCATATTCTCTAAAATTTTCTAAGACCAATGGTTCCTTAATCTAGGGACACATCAGAATCATCTAGGAAATATAAGGGTTAAACAAAGAAAAAGATCCAATGCAGTTATACCAAAACTTCTCAGGATGGGATGTTCCCAAGGTGATCCTTCATATTCAGCTAGGGTAGAGAGCCACTAACTTTTTTCCTTATGGTCTCTTTAGTAACAAGTTAGAAAATGAATAAAGGACCAAGTATACAAACTTGGTGGTATTGGGAGAGTGAAGCGGAAAGGGAGAGATCCATAATGGAAAGAATGAAAACACCATTCCCACAAATCTCTCTCTGCCTGTAATAAACAATTTAAGGCTATTTTATAAGCCATTTGAAAATAACTATTACTCAGAATCTGTGTGATCTAATTAATAAAAGTATTTCAAATGTATTAACACTGTTCTTAATTACTTTCAAGACTTACATTTTACAAAAGGAAGCAAATCAAAACTTTTGTATTCTTTTCTTAAATCAACATATGTATATACAAAGTTAAACCTGTACTTCTAGCCAGTGAATGGCCAAGGTGAAGCTGCAAAGTAGCTTCAAAAAAGTAGATGCACTTTACCTACTTTTCTAGTGTGTTAAGGTAGCACACAACACAAATACGACAAAATCACAATTATCTGATCAGGCTGTTTCAATTCACACTGCACAGCCTTTTCAGTACAATTACAAACTCACCTGTGCAGCAAGGTCAGGATTCTGGCTTAGTGACTGCATCATGCTCCTCATGTAAGGGGCAGACAACATGTTTTGCATAAGTTGTGGGTTTTCAGTTATTTGCTGCAACAAGCTCTGCATTCCTGGTGTGTTGAACATACTAGCTGAAAGTTTGTTTAAAAAAAAGATCACATTGTATCAAGGAAAAGATATGTAGACAAAAGTGATATTTAAAACAATATCATATACACTGTGCATTTTAGCAATCACTGATGAGAAGGCATATTACTTATCAATTGAATAAATAATTTTAAAACTAAGATCTCCAATACTACATGCTAAATATATACCAATAAAGGATAATTTATGGATTTTAAACATTTTGGTTGCATTCACAGTAGAATCACATCTAATGGAAAGGTTAAGTTCTATAGTCAATTTAAGTAAAAGTTGGATATGGTCAAAATTACTATTGAAAAATCCCATAAAGTGAGGAAATCTGAGCCAACTGTTCCATTCCACCAGGATCACTTAACTAGAATCACACTGAGCACTCAATATGCTCACACTTAGTAAGAAGGAAGCCTTCTCACCAACAAAATAATAAGATGGACTCCATCCCATTTTCATTGAGTACTGACACTCACTGATCAAAATGGCAGATACGTTTAACATTTCAGAAATCAGAGAGCACAGTGACTAAGGGTAGTGTCTGGAGTAAGATTACCTACATTCAAGTCTAATCTAATTATGTAATCCTGGGCAAATTATTTGGCTCCTTCATACTTTAGTTTCCCCACCTGTAAAAATGAGGTAAATACTATCTACTTCATAGGGTGGCTTTGACAATTAAATTTGTTAATGTGCTCCAGCAGCATTTTTGGGAGACCTCAGAACAAGTGCAAAGAACACTTCTACCATTTCAAAATTCATTTACCTGTGATTGAGGACTATCACCTAACCTTCAATTAGAAGTGAGTAATCTGCATGACATGCTAAAAGCAAAGAAAAATCCTATAAATGATTTCTAACTGATGAATATGCTGTTAAAATCATATGCTTCTGGAAAATAAATACATATAGTTAGGCCTCTGTATCTGAGGGTTTTGCATCTGCAGATTCAACCAACCACAAATTGAAAGTATTCAGGGGGGAAAAAATCCAAAAAATGTCCTAAAAGCAAAACTTAAATTTGTCATGCACCAAGCACTATGCTCAATCAATGTGAATGAGGTGATGTGCAGGCATGCTCTATATGTAAATATAGGTTATTTGCAAACAGTATGCCATATTATATAAGGGACTTGAGCATCTATGAATTTTGGTAGCCAAAGAGGGTCCTAAAACCAATCCTCTGTGATGCCAAAGGACTATATTTAAGTGAAGTAAGTAAAGCCTCATTATATATCAGTATTAACAGATGAACATCTGTAGTTGATTCTGCCAAAAGGAAACTGTGTGAATCCCAAGGAAGTTAATGTCATCCCTAAAAAATAATTCTATTCCTATCACTTGTAAATATGTATGAAAAAATATTATACCCAATTATTGTATTTTTAACTCCATCATTTAAAAAATATTCCAAAATTTTGTTTTCTCTCATAATGGAGTATTTTCCATTTTGCCTCTTGACCTGCAAAGAGGTCCTTTACTAGAAAAATTTGTACCCATTTTAAATAGTATCAAGCCATTACATTAAAAAAAAAAATCTGAGTAAAAAGTTGCAAAACTGATTTTATTGGTTAGACAAAAGTCGTTACTGTAAAAAACCATGCTATAGTAGAAAAAACAATCCACCTATCAGGAAATCTGATTAAATTGTTGTTCTTGTCGGCTCTAAAACCTTTAAAATGTGAATAAAGTATCCCTCTCAAAAGACTGTTAATAAAAATCAAATAGGCAGTAAGTAAAATACGGAACAGATGATTTTTTAAAATTTAAAAATGGTTATTCAGATATTAACTAGGTTTAGTGTAACAATCATTTTATAATATACAAATATTGAATCGTTACATTGTACACCAAAAACATGTTATGTCAATTATACCTCAATTTTTAAAAGTGGTTATTACTTCAATTTTTATAAAACCCATATTACATCCAGAAATGTTAGCCACTGTATTCTACCACTGTGACCGCCAACTACTTTCCCTATTCTGACTTCTTCCCTAAATAATTAATTTTTAAAATTCTTCATCCAGCATCTCACCTGTGCACTTCCTCTGCTAAGACACAGGGATCTTTTAAATCAGCGGTCGCCAACCTTTCGGACCTTGCGGACCACCGGCTGGCGACTGCTTTTTAAAATTATATCCAGTCCCTCTCATCTTAGGGAAGTGGCCCCATTGCTTTCATTTCTTCTCATTTATATGCCACGTATTAGGACTAAAATCATCACTCTGGCTACTGATCTTAGTAGACTAATCTTACCATGTAAATATTTGAATAGTTGAGAAAAGGACATCCATTTATTGAGTCTAGTCTACAGAAAAAATAATCAAAAGTAAATTCTTAACCTGTTCACACACTAGACTCTCCAGCAGCTTTATACACTGATCTTAGCCCCACTGTGGAAGGACTGAGATTAATCTCTGGGAAACTCATTTTTAACAAACCTGGCAGGTGCTCTGATGCAGCTAGTTTAGCATTGGTCTCAGGACTAGATTTTGAGAATCTACTGATCTAGAGTGTAAAACCAGGAAACATGTGCTCTAGTAATGAATGCATAAGTAACTGTATTCCCTAGGCACTTCAGTTTTCCTATTAGTGAAATGAGACAGCTGACCACCTAACTTCTCCCAAACCATCTTATGAGAATGCTAACACAAAACTGCCTCTGGAAATCCTCACTACTATACTGCACACAACTAATCATTATATATTTAAAACTTTCTTAAACCGCCCCCCCAAAAAAACTTACAACATGAAAAGCTACTTGTCACACATACACAAAAGCACAAAGAACAGCAGCATTAAGAAAAGTTTGTTTTATTCAAATAAGAACAAAAAAGTGTGAGTTGTTATAAATATACCTCCTACTCCAGGTCCCAAACTTGGTGCAGAACTCTGCCCAGCAGTGCTGCTTGCAGTACTACTTCCAGTGCCCCCCACAGCGTTGGTGGTGCCAATGGAAGCTGATGAACTCTGAGAAGCCTGTGGAGCCCATGGATTGGGTAATGGATCTCTATTTTCTGTACGGGAAGGTTGACTACCTTCACCTGAGGACGTATTGCTCACTAAGGAAGCAAATGGATTACCACCAAACTGTAATAAAAACAAACACACACAAAAATTTTTAAAAGAGCTTTAGTTTTAAATAACAGATATGGAACTTTTTTTTATTTTCAAGAGAAAGAGAAGAGAAAGAAATATCATTTTGCTCCACTTATTTGTGCATTCATTGGTTGATTCTTCTATGTACCCTAACCAGGGATTGAACCTACAACCTTGGCATATCAGGACAATGTTCTAACCCAGTGGTTCTCAACCTTCCTAATGCCGCGACCCTTTAATACAGTTCCTCATGTTGTGGTGACCCCCAACGATAAAATTATTTTCGTTGCTACTTCATAACTGTAATTTTGCTACTGCTATGAATCGTAATGTAAATATCTGATATGCAGGATGTATTTTCATTGTTACAAATTGAACATAATTAAAGCATAGTGATTAATCACAGAAACAATATGTAATTACATATGTGTTTTCCGATGCTCTTAGGGGTCATGACCCACAGGTTGAGAACTGCTGTTTTAACCAAATGAGCTATTCAGCCTGGGCCAAATATAAAACTTTCTAATGAAAATCACATTCCCCATATAAAGGTAGCTCTCAATCACAAACATATTTGTTAAAACAGGAGCTATCCCTTAGCCTGAGCCTTGGAGCCAGTTATCACCTGTTCTTGCGCAGCACTCAGCATTGGTTCCTGAATATCTGTGTACATTCGCCGTAAAGCATTGTATCCCCCTGGAATGCTTTCCAGATTACTCAAGGCTCGGTCCTGGTTTCTCATCATTTCCTGCATCATTGCTGGATTCCTGGCAAGTTCCAATGTCTACGGAGAAAATTTCCATTAAACAAAAGAAGGCACTAAAACATACATGAATTACTTTAACTGTTAACTGCCACAGCTAATTTTTTCAAGTTTACCAATTCTATGAATTATCACTCAATATATAAATCAGAAAACTATTTTAAATAATTCCTATTGGATTTCACCTCAAAAAGCAAGCTAATATTCAAATAATTAAAGAAACACTTTGTTATAAGTGATTCCCATCTCCTGAACTGAATTCTTGTTTCTTAAATCTACAGGATAACTGTTTATAAAGATCTTTAAAATATAGCAGAAAATTCAAAGTTCAAAATAGTCCAAATTAGGGGGGGGATGAGGACACATTTGTAATACCTTAACTAATAATAAAAAATAAAAAAAAAAAAAATAGTCCAAATTAGTGCTTTATTGAGTTTTACTTAACAAAGATTAGGATTTCCTTTTTTAGCTTAGCCATATATATAGGACAAGCTTTTTAGGCATAAAAAATTGAATAATTAAGTAAATATATCCTAGCTAAATGGACTGAAAGAGCATTCCACATACTTGTCTCATAATATCTGGGTTATTCAGCATATGACTAATTTCTGGATTTCTCTGTATCAACTGCTGCATTTGTGGATTGGCCATAATTAACTGCCTCATCAGGTCAGGATTTGAAAGCATGCTCTGGACAAAGGGATTCTCCATGATCTGGACCATCATTTCAGGATTGGACATTAGTTGCCGCTGCATCTGGCTTTGTAGTTCAGAGAAGTTGGTAGAATTCAAACCCAAGCTACTTAGACCGGCAAGTCCTCCAAGGGCACCTAAGGGGATAAAGGGGAAAAAACACATAAATAAAAGTCAGAAATTTTACCATTAACAAGACTGTGCACCATTAACAAAATGAAGATGCAAAAATATTAACTGAATCAATAATCCAATCCAGAAAACCATTCAAAAGCAAAAATGTAATTCCTATTTCATATATACGTTTAATTTCTATAACTGAAATTAGCCAAAAATGTATTCACTCTGATACTTAGGTTTAAGTAATAAAGCCATCAAATATATATTCCAAATACAAAACTATACAGTCACATGTCACATAACTGCCATTTTGGTCAACAATGGACCATATATACAACATTGGTTCCTTAAGATTATAATGAAGCTGGAAAATTCCTATTGCCACCAACCTCTAGGGGAGAAGAAGTTGCTAGAGTTTAAGGTCTGTAAAAACACTTGAGCAATGAGATTTAGAGAGGCTCCAGGTGGGTGAAGACATCTACATGCTATTAGGGTGACATGCAGAGAGGGGGCATGGAAGCTTAGCATTGTCCCTGAACCCTCATACCTTGCCCGATGATTCTTTTCCATTTGTCTAATTCTCAGCTGTACCCTTTATAATAAACTGATAAACATAATAAAGTGTCTTCCTGAGTTCTGTGAGCTATTCTAGCCAATTATCAAACCTGAGGATGGGTTGTGGAAATCTTCAATATAGCCTGCCGGTTAGAAGTAGAGGTGGTCTGGAACTTGGACTATTATCTGAAGTAGGAGCAGTCTGAGCCCTTTAACTTGCAGGATCTGACATTAACTCCAGGTAGGTAATATCAGAATTGAACTATTGGACACCCATGTGGCGCTGGAAAATTAGTTTGTGTTAAAAAAAAAAAAAAAAAACCGCCCTGACCGGTTTGGCTCAGTGGATAGAGCGTCAGTCTGCGGACTGAAAGGTCCCAGGTTCGATTCCGGTCAAGGGCATGGATGTTGGTTGTGGGCACATCCCCAGTAGGGGGTGTGCAGGAGGCAGCTGATTGATGTTTCTCTCTCATCGATGTTTCTAACTCTCTATCCCTCTCCCTTCCTCTCTGTAAGAAATCAATAAAAAGTATTTAAAAAAATAAATAAATAAATAACAATTTTAAAAAACCACACCCCAAAATATGCCTAATGGAAGAAATGAAAAATATGCAATGGATTATACTTCTAACAATGTCTTTGCAGAAAACTAATTTAAGTTTAGCAATTTACCTATAAACTCTGGATAGTGCAGAGCTGCTGCCAATCAATGAGAGAAAAAGCCAGGACATATAACAGAATGAAATCATGGAGAAACAATAGACGCAAGAGGATGGTAAGTGCTTATCATAACACATTAACTTTGTAAATTTACATAATCAACCAAATGCATTCATTCCTCACTTACTCAGCACTGCCTATATATGGCTTGTACTGTGCTACATGTTGGGAATAAGGTGACAAGAAAGACACAAGAACTACCCTCAGAACTTAATCTAGACAGACAAGAAAAAAGAAGCAGAATAACAAATAGACACAGGATATTATGGCACTATCTAAAAAGGATGGCTGCTTTCTTACAAGACGACACTCAAAGAGTTTGGAGAATAAATAAGTTGGCAAGAAGACGTGGACAGCATTGGGAGAAGATTTAATACTAGGCACAATAAACATTATATACAACAAGTATAGACATAAATATTATAAGTATTGATGTATTCTTGAAACAGAAAAAATACAGAATGACTGGAATGGCACATAGCAGTGCTCACTAAACATTCAACCAGTAGCCTTGTATTTCTTTTGCAGTTGGACAGTCCCGAGTGACTAGTTATGGCCAAAGGACTATAAGAAATGATGGGTATCACTTCTGGCCAAAGTACAGAAGGTTGTGTCTTCTGTCATGTTCCAAGATGGCAGAATTACATTAGCTTGAGTCCCTGAAGACTGTAGATGAGGCCTCACTGACCAGTGAAAAGCATGAGGAAAAGCTTTGGAGCAGGAAATTAAGCTTTGTGGTAATAAACCGCCAAGTCTGCGGTTATCTGTTACCACAGGGTAGCCTATCCTGACTAATATAATTATTGGGAAGTGGTAAAAAATGAGGATGGAGAGACAGATAAGGGCTAAAACAGAAAGCAGAATAGTCACTTAAGTTGTTCTTATTCTAATAATAACAATATGGAAATGACTCAGATTTAAAACCACTACAGATTTAAAAAGTTGAGAACCTATAACAAGTAGTTAGCAGTAATTGCCTATGGTGGAAGAAAGACATTTATGGTTCAAGAGATTTGGTAGGAGAGAGGTAGTGGTTTGAGGGGCAAGATAATTTGTATTGTTTTCCTTTGCTTTGTGAGGAGACACATACAAAAGCTGAAGTACTTAGAGCAGCGGTTCTCAACCTGTGGGTCGTGACCCCTTTGGGGGTCGAACGACCCTTTCACAGCAGTCACCTAAATACATCCTGCATAGCAGATATTTACATTACGATTCATAACAGTGGCAAAATTACAGTTATGAAGTAGCAACGAAAATAATTTTATGGTTGGGGGTCACCACAACATTAGGAACTGTATTAAAGGGTCCCGGCATTATGAAGGTTGAGAACCACTGACTTAGAGAATATCAGGTAATAGGGTTGACTATACTGCATAGAGTTCAGAAACTGTGTGGGTTAAGGTACAGACCTGAAAGTCACCAGGACATACAGTTAGTATAATATCACTCAAAGAAAAATAAATAAAAGTAAAAGAAGAAAGACAAGGCAGAACTCTGGAGAACAATACCAGAAGGAACAGAAAGAGAAGAGACCTACAAATGAAACAAAAAAGAAAATGGTAATATCATGGGGAACACTGCATAAAGTATGACTGGCTAACCACTACATGGTACAATTGAAGTTAATTTTTATATATAAAAGGCTAAGTGTCTATCCTTCCCTCTGACTGGTATCTATGACGCGCAATGACCACCAGGGAGCAGACGCTCAATGCAGGCGCAGCCATGATGCACACTGGCCATTTAAAAATAAATGTCACCACGGACCTGGCGCAAACAAACCAACACTCAGTTCCCCCCAATTGGGACACAGGCCCCACCACCACCCTGGAGCAACACCCCACCAAATTGCAGCCAACACTGCCAAGATCCCATGGTGCAAAATGCAGCCCACAGCCCAGCCCAGAAACGGTGGCTGTGGGCGCCGGGTAATGACATCACGTAGCAATGCCCAGCTTCCTCTTTCTAGTGACTAGCCTCCTTGGAGTTTCTTCAGCCCAGGAACCCAACTTGCTTTATAGCCAGGTGCAAACATTTTACAGTTCAACCAAATGTTTGTGAAGCGTTTTCCTGTGCCTCATCTCATTTGATTCTCACAGAAGTCCTGGAGTAGGTAGATAGGAGACTTGGTAGAATCCTATTTTCTTTTCATTAGCAAGACAACAGAGATTTAGAAAGTTTAGAAACTTGACCCAACTGAAAAGAGGAAATGGTGGAACTTGAAAATGACTTCAGGTTTTTGCACCAGGTTTAGCCTGGTCTGCACCCTCTCCAATCTGGGACCCCTAAGGGGATGTCCGACTGCTGGTTTAGGCCCGATCAGGCCTAAACCAGCAGTCGGACATCCCTCTCGCAATCCAGGACCACTGGCTCCTAACCACTAACCTGCCTGCCTGCCTAATGCCCCCAAATGCCCTCCCCTGCCGGCCTGGTCGCCCCCAACGGCCCTTCCCCTGCCAGCCTAGTCACCCCTAACCCTCTGCCAACCTGATCTCGCCCCTAACTGCCTCTCTCTCAGCCCACACCACCATGGCTTTGTCCAGCAGGAAGTCAGACCTCCGGAAGATACCCAGTTGACCTGGTCTAATTAGCATATTACCCTTTTATTAGTATAGATGGCCAGTGCGCGTCATGGCAGCTCCTGCATTGAGTGTCCGCCCCCTGGTGGTCATTGTGCATCATAGCTACCAGTCAGAGGGAAGGACGGACACTTAGCATTTTATATATATAGATAGATTATTGACTATATTTCCTATGCTGTACTTTACATCCCCTTAACTATTTTGTAACTACCATTCTGTACTTCTTAATCCCTTCACCTCTTTCACCCAGTCTCCCAACCCTCCTCCCGTATACAAATTTTTTTATAATGTCATTTTGAGGTACTATACTTGTCATACAACTTAAGAACTGAAAGAAGCATTGAGCCATAGCTATCTAGTTCTACTTTTGTTAGTTTCAGAATACGTTTCCCCCCAAAAAAACCTTCATAGAACCTCAGTATATAAAACTGATATAAATAGTTTGGGCTTATACAGGAGATCTTTAACCACTGAGCTTGCTCCCAGGCCCTGCCCTTTTTGTGTGTTCAGACAGAAAATCACTACAACATTGTGATCTCTTTGTTTTATAAGTGAGAAAATTATATTTAGGATCTTACCTATGATTAACAATCAGCTAATCTTCCTTAGATTCAATTATGCACCAGGTGATCAGATCAGGTATACATATACTACCTTGTTCATTATTTAAAAAAAAAATGTGTCACCATGCCCTGGTCAGGTAGCTCAGGTGGTTAGAGCATCATCCCAATATGCCAAGGTTGTGGGTTGGATCCCCAGTCAGGGTACATACAATAATCAACCAATGAATGAATAATTAAGTAGAACAACAAACTGATCTCTCTCTCTCTATCAATCAATAAAAATGTTAAAAAAATGTTAATGTGTCACCTATTGACTATTTAACTAAATGTAAATGTAAGCTTACCAAATATATCTATATTCCCAACTACTTTCTTAATACCTACCTACAACAATTACAGAAGCTATAGAAATTTATGTTGTTGTTAAAGTGACTTCATGTTTAATTCTGACATTTTATAAAAACTACCCTATGAAGAAGGAAGTTTTTTTTTCCAATTCCTATAAAAATGATTTAAGACACTTACCTAAACCAAAAGGGTTGCTAGGGGCAGAACCAGATGTAGAGTTACTATTAGGAGCTGAAGATGTAGTAACATTGCTTCCACTAGTATTTGTTTGCTGGGCTGAATGATCCTGAGACCTAGGAAAGATAATTAATTCATGCTGTGAACAGTGAATTATTTTTAAAAGAGCCTCTGAAATTTTGACACCCATTATAAAGAAAAAGTTTTCAGACTAACTCAAGTTTTCATAAAGTAAATAAATACCCTGAGGTAACTATATAAAAAGAAACATAGTAAAACCTTACAAAAACCAAACTATACTTCAATTGCTCCTCCTTGAGTATAATATACATAAATATTTCATTACTTTCAATCATATTGATTATGTAAGAGAGGAAAATAGGTCACCTCAGAGAAGAGAACCAACCACCCATCACAGCCATAGAGTTCAAATATAGCAACTTTTTATCTACACCCTTCTATGTTCTTGAGCATTGAGGGAGGGTTAGTTTTTCTCAGACTCTTGAAATTGTTAAAAGTAAAAAATAAAGAGACGCCGAAACTGGTTTGGCTCAGTGGATAGAGCGTCGGCTTGCGGACTGAAGGGTCCCAGGTTCGGTTCCGGTCAGGGGCGTGTGCCTGGGTTGCGGGCACGTCCCCAGTGGGGGATGTGCGGGAGGCGGCTGATCGATGTTTCTCTCTCATCGATGTTTCTAACTCTCTGTCTCTCTCCCTTCCTCTCTGTAAAAAATCAATAAAATATATTAAAAAAAAATAAAAATAAAAAAAAATAAAGAGACTTCACCAAAAGAAGGTTGAAAAATCAATAAAAGCAATAACTGATTATTACTTAATATTAAGTAATAAAATGTTTTATTAGAAATCTATTCCTTCTGATACCAGTTAAAAGTTCTGAATCTCACTCACTTTAATTGATTCTAAAATGCACATTTTTAAATTTTAACACCTCTGAAATCAGGATCTGTCTTACAATTGCTGGCAGACAGACAATTATTATGCCTGCAGACACATGTTCTATATAACTTCAACTGAGTGACTGAGCACCCTGTTGTACCAGATAGGTTGTATTTACCACAGCAGTGGTTCTCAACCTTCCTAATGCCGCGACCCTTTAATACAGTTCCTCATGTTGTGGTGACCCCCAACCATAAAATTATTTTCGTTGCTACTCCATAACTGTAATTTTGCTACTGTAAACAATATGTAATTATATGTGTGTTTTCCGATGGTCTTAGGCGACCCCTGGGAAAGGATCGTTTGACCCCCAAAGGGGTCGCGACCCACAGGTTGAGAACCGCTGCCATATAGAGTGTCTTCAGAAAGATTATACCATTACTTGGTACTAAAATGAAGTTTGTGCATACATAAAAGCACAGAAACAGGAATAGAAGAAATGAATTTCATACCAGTGAAACAGGTATCTGCTGTTAGGGAAAACCAGAATAAAAATTTACAGAATGGGTATCAATGGCCTGAAAGAAATTCCTGGGGAAAATACTGTAGCACCCTTTTAAGAACAATTCTGCACCAACTCAATTGAGAGTAGAGCTTCATCCCACATGGAAAAATATGGGAATGGATAACTGAGACCAAGGGTGACTCAAAAGGCTCTAACTCAATATGAACTAGTGATAGGAAGGCTTTAATCAATTTATTTCATGTATATTTTCTTTGTATGTATGCATAAGAGTAATATAATAAATACCACATCCAAGTAAGTCTAAAGGAACTCTTTGACGAGGTATAAAATAAAAATTTTAAGCGAAAAGAAAATATCTACTTAATTGGCAGTATTTTTTCTTAGCGATACATAAAATACAGGTGCCTCTGAAAAATTGATGGTGCTGCCCTAACTGGTTTGGCTCAGTGCATAGAGCATCAGCCTGCAGACTGAAGGGTCCCGGGTTCGATTCCGGTTAAGGGCACATGCCAGGTTACGAGTTTGATCTCCAGTGAGGGACATGCAGGAGGCAGACAATCAATGATTCTCTCTCATCACTGATGTTTCTATCTCTCTCTCCCTTTCCCTTCCCCTCTGAAATCAATATCTACACTAATAAAAGAGAAAAATGGTAATTGGCGTACGGCTGCTACCCTTTTCATTGGCTAATCAGGGCTATATGCAAATTAACTGCCAACTAAGATTGGCAGTTAACTGCCAACAAGATGGCGGCTAATTTGCATACGTAGGCACAATGCAGGGAGGCGAAAGGGAAAGCAGGAAGAAGCCCCCTGCCACTGACAGTGATCGGAAACCCAGGGGGGAGCTAAGAGCTGGGGGGCAGGGCAAAGGCGGCCCTCTCCCCCAGCCATGATCAGAGAATCAGGCGCCTTTGCCGCCCTGGCCAGTGATAGCAGGAAGTAGGGGTGGAGCCAGCGATGGGAGCTGGGCACGGTCGACGCTGGCAGTCCCAGGAGCTAGGGGTCCCTTGCCTGGGCCTAAAGCGAAGCCCACGATAGCGGGGCCGCTGCAGCTGTCAGTCCCTGCTGCCTGGGCCGGAAGCCTCAGCCAGAGGCGTTAGGCCTGGGCAGGGGCGGAGCCCGCAACCGCGGGGAGCTGGGGGTCCCCTGCCCAGGCCTGACACCTCTGCCAGAGGCCTCAGGCCTGGTCAAGGGGCCGATCGGTGATTGGTGATCGGAGGGTGATGAGGGTCAACTCCTCTGGCCGAGGCATCAGGCCTGGGCAGGGGGCTGGGGGTCCCATGCCCAGGCCTGATGCCTGGGCCAGAGGCATCAGGCCTGGGTGGGGGGCGGATCCGGGGATTGGGGGGATATGATGGTCCCCTTGCCCAGGCCTGAAGCCTGGGTCAGAGGCGTCAGGCTTGGGCGGGGGGTGGAGCAAGCAATCAGAGGGTGATGAGGATCCCCTGCCCAGGCATGATTCCTGGGCCAGAGGCCTCAGGCCTGGGCCAGGGGCAGAACCAGTGATGGGGGGAAATGAGGGTCCCCTGCCCAGGCCTGACGCCTCTGACAGAGGCGTCAGGCCTGGGCAAGGGGCCGATCCTGCGATTGGAGGGTGATGGGGGTCAACGCCTGAGGGCTCCCAGTATGTGAGAGGGGGCAGGCTGGGCTGAGGGACACTCTCCCCCCCCCCCCCGCCACACCCAGTGCACGAATTTCGTGCACCGGGCCCCTAATATATATATATACACACACACACACACACACACACACACATATATTTATATTTAAATTGATGGTGCCTTAGAATTAATGAAATATGGTTATAGATTTGTGCCAAGGAAATTAATGATCCCTGATCTTTGTCCCAAAATCTAAAACAAAAAGCATACCTAAAAATATATAAATCTGCTTGTTCAGTAATTAAAATAATGGCTCATATGGATCAATCTTCTAAAACAGCAGTTGCCAACCAGTGGTCCGTGAGGTCTGAAAGGTTGGCAACTGCTGGTTTAAGGAAACCTTTGGAGCAGCAGTCGCCAACCAGTGGACGGGGACCACTAGTGGTCTGTGAGGTCCGAAAGGCTGGCAACCGCTATTCTAAAATATCAAATGTGTAAGCATTAACATTACTGAATTACGGCGTTTTTTAAAAACATATAAATTTTAATCCACTCAATTAATGACAGAGAAAGCCCTTTAAAGCCAAGACTTTTATTTCTAAAGCATTTACTCGTGGTTTAAAGCTTCTAAAAACATACCTGTTTTGTGTTTTGATGACAAGGTGAACAGTAAGTCCGTCATGAATTCCATGCTGACTCAGTGTATCTTGATCTTTTAAAATTTTTCCAGCAAATATCAACACAAGTTGGTCGGTATGTGATTTGAACCGTTTAGAGATTTCTTCCTTGAACTAATAAGATAAAAATATGTATTACAGGTATTTTCATAACATCATCTCATCTAGTTTCTTAGAAGAAAAACTTCAACGAGTCCCTTTCTCAAATACTGCCATAATTCAAACAATATAAAAATGCATCTTTTCTGTGTATCTTGCCCTTAGTGGGGAAATGAGTATTACCACTTCACTCATCTTAACACAAAGGTTTTATCTTAGGTATACATATTCAGTCTTCTGCTAAGGCATAACAATTCATTTCTTTACAATATCCTTATTCTTTTTATATCAGTGGTGCCAAATGGAGTTCAAAGTACACATAGTTCTTACCAAGTTTACAATAAGCTATTCCTCAGATTTTTAACTCCAGCCCTATTTTTTTCTAGTTATTTAGTATACACACACACAGTATGTTGGCGCCAAGATAAAGTGTACAGTTGAATATATATTATTTGTCTATTATACTGACTTTCCTCCTCACCTTTTTCACTCAACATTAACAAGCAGTATTGTGCAAATATAAAAATATAAAGCAAAAAATTCCCCTGAAAGAGAACAGTCCAATGAAAGAGGCAGTCAAGTAAACCACAAAGTACAGAGGCAGCACAAAGGGCAGTTAGAGAAAGCTTTCGAGTGAGAACTGAAGAAAGATTAGGAAGTAGCCAGGAAAACCTGAAGAAAAGCTTCAGAAAATAACATGCAAAACCAGACAAGAGAAAAGAACATCATACTATATATATATTAAAAAAAAAAAAAAAGCTTACTTATTCTAAGCTAGATCAGTGTTTCTCTCAAACCTTTATCAAAAATCACCTGTTGCCGAACCGGTTTGGCTCAGTGGATAGAGCGTCGGCCTGGGGACTCAAGGGTCCCGGGTTCGATTCCGGTCAAGGGCATGTACGTTGGTTGCGGGCACATCCTCAGTGGGGGGTGTGCAGGAGGCAGCTGATCGATCTCTCTCATCGATGTTTCTGACTTTCTATCCCTCTCCCTTCTTCTCTGTAAAAAATCAATAAAATATATCAAAAAAAAAAAAAATCACCTGTACACTTAGCCTTTACTCCACTGTCCAAATCAGGAAACCACAGGGTGGACCAGGGAATCTACATTAACAGATTACTTCAGAGAACCAATCCGAATTCAGGAAATAATCACATCTCCCATCATCCCACAGAAGTGGAGCTCCATAGATAATGACACTATCACCAAGAGGGTGTTTTTGAAAATATAAGAGGTATTTCTGATTGTCACAGTAAGTGGAAAGACATATTATATAGTATCTGAAATTTTATAAAATTTTGCACAGGTGGGGAAGGGGACGTGTAGAGGGACATAAACAAAACAACATAGACCATATGTCAATCACTGCTGAAGATGAGAAGTGGCCCAGCCGGCGAGGGCTCAGTGGTTGAGCATCAACTAATGAACCATAAGGTGATGGTTTGATTCCGGTCAGGGCACAAGCCCGGGTTGCAGCTCCATCCCTAGTGTGGGGCATGCAAAAGGCAGCTGATCAATCTTTCATCATTGATGTCTCTATCTCTCTCTCTTCCTCTCTGAAATAAAAAAATATATATTTTAAGAAAATATGAGAAGTGCATGCAAGTTCATCACACTTTACCTTTGTGTATGAATAAAATTTTCCATAATCAAGTTACACACTCAATGTAAGCAACTAGTTTTTTTAAAAAAATAAAGATAATGCAAAATTATACTGCAGCATATGCTTTCCAACTGATTTTTCTTAATTTATCTGAAATTATGAAATATAGCCCTTTTATCTAAGATAAGCAATTTTCAAGTAATTTTTAAAAAATCTTTGTAGAACACTATTTGCATGATATTCTATATAGAAAAATCGGTCAAACCATTTAACTATTCTATTACTAGACATCTCATTTCTCCCACTGGTAGCTATTAGAAATAATGTAATGAACAGCAGAACACATGATTTTATAAAAACTAAATGAGAATGTATATAAAACGCAAGTATCAGGTACACAGGTGGTGGTCAGTAAATAGTAGTTACTATTATGCCAGCTCTCTTAATTCTCAATTCCTGTGAGACAGATGGTTTTTAATCCCATTTCAGATACAGAAACAAAGAAAGGTCCCATATATCCCTCTCCTCTCATAGTGACACAAGTAATAACTAGGATTCAACCTAGTTAGATTTCAAGGACCAATGTATCCCAATTAACTATATTCTAATTCTTATGTAAAATGAGGGCAATCTAGATTTGTTTCTTAACATTAAACTAAGAAATCCTTTTCAGAATCCTTGATATCACTTGTCATTCCAAAGTAAGTGATTTAATTGCCTAACTTACAATTACTAGTATTTTAGCATATTTTAGGATTTGAAGGTAAGATGCTAGATTGAAGACACCTGTCTACTCATATCCTTTTGAATCCCCACTAAAACAATTTAATAAAAGATTTTATAACTTTATAGAGATATAACTTACAATTTTGACCATTTAGGGTGTACAATTCAATGATTTTTGGTATATGCACAAATGTATACAACAGTGATGGCAAATCTTTTGACCTTGGCGTGTCAGTATTTTGAAAAACCCTAACTTAACTCTGGTGCCGTGTCACATATAGAAATTTTGTGATATTTGCAACCATAGTAAAACAAAGACTTATATTTTTTATATTTATTTTATATATTTAAATGCCATTTAACAAAGAAAAATCAACCAAAAAGATGAGTTTGCGTGTCACCTTTGATACAGGTGTCATAGGTTCGCCATCACTAGTATACAACCATCAATGACCACAGTCAATTTTACATTTTCATCTTTTCAGAAAGAAACCAGTACTCTTTAGCTATCACCTCCTTTCAGCCCATCACTCCAAGCCATAAGACACTACTAATCTACTTTGTCTCTACAGATTTGCCTATTCTGGACATTTCACATAATTGCAATCATATGCCTTATACAAGGTCTTTGTGACTGGCTTCTTTCACGTAGCATAAAGGTTCATCCATATTGTAGTATGTATCACTATGCCATTCCTTTTTATGGCCAAATATATTCTACTAGAGGCCCGGTGCACAAAAACTTGTGCACTGGCAGGGGGTGGGAGGGTCCCCTCAGCCTGGCCTGTGCCCTCTCACAGTCTGGGACCCCTCAGGAGATAAGGACCTGCTGGCTTAGGCCCGCTCCCAGGTGGCAGAGGGCAGGCCCAATCCCTAGGTGCAGCCCCTGGTTGAGCTCAGAGCAGGGCCAACTGGGGAGTTGGGGCGCCACCCCGTCATGCACAGAGCAAGGCGGATCGGGAGGCTGCGATGCCACCCCCAGTCACGCTCAGGGTAGGGCCAATTGGGGCGCCGCCCCCTGTCACACTCAAGGCAGTGTCAATGGGGAGGTTGAGGCGCCACCCCATCACATACAGAGCAGGGCCAATCAGGGGGGTGGGGTGCTGCCCCCTGTCACGCACAGAGCAGGGCCCATCAGGGGGGTTAGGGCTCCGTACCCTTTCACACACAGAGCAGGGAGGATCAGGGGGTTGGGGCACTCCCCCGTCACACTCAGGGCAGGGCCGATGGGGAGGTTGCGGCTCCACCCCGTCACACACAAGCAGGGCCCATCGGGGTGGTTGGGGCGCCGCACCCTGTCACAAACAGAGCAGGGCCGATCAAGGGGTTGGGGAGCTCCCCCCTATCAGGCACAGAGCAGGGCCGATCAGGGGGTTGGGGCGCCTTCCCCTGTCATGAACAGAGCAGGGCGGATAGGGAGGTTGTGGCCCCGCCCCCTGTCACACACAGAGCCGCAGGGCGATCACGGGGCTTGGGCGCTGTGCCCGGTCACGCTGCTCCAGGAGCCAGGAGGCCTCGCAGCTCCGCTGATCCCAGTGCCAGGAGGCCTCGCTGCTCAGCTGATCCCGGTGCCAGGAGGCCTCGCTGCTCCACTGATCCCGGTGCCAGGAGGCCTCGCTGCTCTGCTGATCCCAGTGCTGGGAGGCATATTACCCTTTTACTATATAGGATAGAGGCCTGGTGCATGGGTGGGGGCCAGTTGGTTTGCCCTGAAGCGCGTCCTGGATCAGGGTGGGGGTCCCGCTTGGGTGCCTGGCTAGCCTGAATGAGAGGATGATGGCTGTTTGCAGCTGGTCACACCCCTTCAGGGCGGGGGTCCCCACTGGGGTGCCTGGCCAGTCTGGATGAGGGGATGATGACTGTTTGCAGCTGGTCACACCCCCTTCAGGGTGGGGGTCCTGCTTGGATGCCTGGCCAGCCTGAATGAGGGGATGATGGCTGTTTGCAGCTGGTCACACCCCCTTCAGGGTGGGGGTCCCCACTGGGGTGCCTGGCCAGTCTGGGTGAGGGGCTGAGGGCCGTTTTCAGGCTGGCGGGTGACTGAAGCTCCCAACCTCTCCTATTTTTATTTTTCTTTTTTTTATTCTGGGATTTATTTACCTTCTATGGCTGTCACTGGAACTGAGAGCCGGCTTTAGCTCTGAGGCTCGGCTCCAGCTCTGAGACCTTGGCTGCTGAAAGCAGGTTATCTGGTTTGTTTGGCTTCTATAATTGAAACACTGTTGCAACTCCAGCTCGGCCTGCTGGCTAAAAGCATGGGGTTTGTTTAGCTTCTATAATTGCAACACTGTTTCTTAGAGTGCAAGCTCAGAGCCCAGCAGCAGCAGGCGGGGAACCTTGGCTTCCTCCTTCACTGGAACAAGCAAGCCTCCTGTTCGCTTCAGCTGCCTGGCTGCCGGCCACCATCTTGGTTAGCAGTTAATTTGCATATCGCCCTGATTAGCCAACAGGAAGCATGTCGGAGGTACGGTTAATTACCATGTTTGTCTATTATTAGATAGGATTGTATGGATATACATTTTGTTTATCATTCATCAGCTGATGAACATTTGAGTTGTTTACACCTCTCGGCTATTATGAATAAAGCTGCTATAAACATTCATGTATACGTTTTTGTGTGAAAAATGTTTTCATTTCTTTTGGGTATATACATACATGTGAATTACTGGGTCATATGATAACTCTT